ATAAATCACATAATATATATCATTAGAAATGAAGATGTACATTTAAAGCTATCAAGGAACAGAACCCCTAAGTGCAGATTCCTCTTTCAGTTCATTTTGCTGGAAAAGAAAAGCCTCAGCAGGCCCAGCCTGTGACTGCCTGCTCCAAAGGCTTCACATCTTCCCTCAGCTTTTCTCACACAAGTGCTATTGTCACAACAACACGTTTTCTCTCCAGTTGTCTTTTCTGTTTCCTAAATTCAAGTTTGAGGGACTCCAATGCAATCAGAAGCTCAATTATTTTAGACAAATCAAGTCAATCTCTCATCTTCCTTTTAGAAGAAGTCCCAGCCTTGCTCAGCCTTCAGTGCTCAGAGGCAAAACTGAAGTAGGGAAAAAGGAGCAAGAATTAAATTTTCATGGGAGTTTTTAATGCACAAGTGTGAGCAAGCTGAGAATGGAAATTAAGATACAGGGAAAATTGGCTTGATGTTCCCAGAGCATAGAGGCCTCTTCAGAGCCTCGCTCTGCTTTTATTTGTTATTGTGTTGATTGGCCCTTTCTCAGCCCTGCCAGTCTCCAACTGCCCCATCTACTGGCAGCAGAACCTGGCTGGTGGGTGAACACAGGAGTGACCCGACCCAGGGCTGGGAGCTACCAGCAAAACAACAGAGAGACAGAAAGTGGAAGAAAAATTCAAACGTTTTCCAGCTTGACTCGACACTCTGCAAGGTGTCCAACTGCCACCTGCAGCCACCAGCCCAGCCCCTGCTGGTGAGCTGGTTTGTACTTACTGCTTTGTCAGCCTTCCTTCTCTTGAGTTCCAAGTTCCAGGAATCTAAAGAGCTCCTCTCCATCATCCAGCACCTGAAGGGAACCTCCAGGAAGCTGGAGAGAGACTTTTCCCAAGAGTGCCCAGTGACAGGACCAGGGGAAATGGTTTGAACTGAAGGGGAGCAAGTTTAGATCTTAGGAAGAAGTTCTTCAGTGTGAGGGTGGCCAGACTCTGGAGTAGATTGCCCAGAGAGGCTGTGGATGCCCCTCCCTGGAGGTGTTCAAGGCCAGGCTGGATGAGGCCTTGAGCAGCATGCTCTGGTTGAGAGGTGTCCCTGCCCATGTCTGGGGGTTGGGTGAGTTGATCTCTGGGTCCCTCCCAACCTCAGCCAGTCTGTGCTTCTATGATCACTTTCTGAGCATTTCAGAGCCTGGTTGAAGAACACCCAGCAATATAAACTGAGCTACACGTGAGGCACAGCAGGTTAAGCTACACAGAAGGAGCTCTGGCCATCCAGTTTTCTTCCAAGTCTCCAGTATCTTCAGCACTTGAGCAGGTTCTTGTCTATTCTCCACAGATCTTGCATTAGGTAAATTTGAACCTCATAGACATTTCTCAGAGACAAATGACCAAAAGCTGACTCCACCTGTCCTACTGCAGCACTTTCTGCAGAAGAGAAAGACATCTCCACGTAGACTTGGGTTAGTTCCTCTCCACTCCAGGACAAGGGGAAAATACAGGAGATGGGTTTTGAAACCACAGGACAACGTGTGCCAGCAGTTTGACTTTTGTCACTGTTGCTGACTGTCGCAGCAAGAGAATCCCCAGAGCACTGCAGTTCCTCTCTACATAATCCAGCACGCCCTGTGCCACACAAAACCACCACAGCAAAATCCCTCCCTGAGCCACAGCTGGTCCATGACTCCTAACCAGGCACCTAACTTCTACAGGCAAAAAGTCTTTAGCCTTTTCTCCATCAGGGCTGTTGAGCCCAGGACAGATCATAGCCCAAACTATACAGGGCTGAAGTTTCCATTTAAAGGAAAGTCCAGTAAACCCACAAAACTTGACTTGTTGCTGTCAAACCTGTGCCTCACACTGCTGGGTGGATTTTATCTGAAGGAGGAACTCCCGTGCTCACCCTGCAGGGAGACATCATCTGTTCCCACAGCACAGACAGGCTGGGCTTTCAAATTATTCTTCAGTAACTGCACCTTTCCATTTCAAAAAAGGTCACCTCTCAATTCCTCAGACATTTACTATGAAAACTGGGGTCACCTGGGAGCAAGGTGTCCCCCCTGCAGATTTAGTCAACAAGGAACTCATTAGCTTGCCTCACACCACTAAGGGAAGAAAGAGAGACTCCAGATTAATGGCACGACCCAGTGAACTCGCTGAATTCACCAAATAAGACCAACATGCTTAGAAAAGAGGCTGCAGACAGAGGAACTCCTCCCAGGAAACCAGGGAGAGCAGGCTGGGAATGCAACTGATGACCCCTGGCAGAGGTGTATGAGAGCCCCACAGATCAGCCCCGTTTCACTCCAAAAGAATAAACCAGAACGAGCTTCTGGAAAAGTCTTCATGCCATTCTGTCATGGGCACCACAGGATCAGAGAGACCCTGAGGGGCTGGAGTGGGTCCAGAGAAGGGCAAGGAAGTTGGGGAGGGTCTGGGGAACATGGCTTGTGAGGAGCAGCTGAGGGACCTGGGGGG